TTTACTAAACAAAATAGGAATTCAACAATGGGTATAATGCATAATATCTTCAAATTAGTTGTTTAGATACCAAATATAAGCATGCAAAATTTTCCTTTCTCCTTTCCCTCATCCCAGTTGTTCCTTCCCTTTGAACAATTTCTTTTGTAGTATCTATTGTATCTTTTAGATTTTATTTATTATTTCAGGTTCTCACACTAGTGAGGCAATGTTTATACATATGGGTCTGATTTATTTCACTTATGCTGTCTAGCTGCATCCATTTACCTATAAAAGCCTCAACTTTAACTTCTTGTATGGCTGAGTAATACTCCATTGTATTTAAAAATGCCATCTTTTTTATCCATTCTTCAGTCAATGGGCATTTGGATTGTTTCTAAGATTTAGCTTTGACACATTGTGTTGCTATAAACTTGATGCACATATATTGCTGTGGTATGGTGTTTTCAGTTCTTCTGGAAAAATATCCAGGTGGGGAATAAATAGTTGAGTTTTTCCTCCATATTTTACCTATCATTGAGGTTTTTTTTCTTTTGCGGAACCTGGGATTGAGCTCAGACCCTTGCTCTTGTCAGGGAAGCGCTTATTCTACTGAGCCATCTCCCTGGCCCCCGCATCATTGAGTTGCAGTCCAAATAATTGTTTTTGTTTTTTTTTGAGACAGGGTCTTTCTATATAGTGTAGTGACCTTGAACTCACTTATGTAGCCCAAGTTGGTTTTGAACTTATGATGTTCCTCCTACCTTCGCCTCCCTAGTACTGGGATAATGGGTGTAGGCCGCCACAATATGACAGCTATAACATAATAGAAAATTGTTACCATGGGCTGGAGATACGGAGCATGTACTTAGCATACATGAGGCCCTGGGTTCAATCTCCAGTGCTAAAACAAAAATAGCAGTGAAATAAGACATCCTTAGTTCTGTTGGTGTTTTTTTTGCTCTATGGTTGCCAGGAGTTTTACAATTTTGCGTCATTCTCCTGTATATATGTTAGTGATCATTTTGTGTGTGTGTGTGTGTGTGTGTGTGTGTGTATGTGTGATCAGTATTATTTATAAAAATTTGAGAGTTGAGCACAGTATTCCTAATAGAGATGTAATTTAACTTGCATTCTATGTTTTAGCTTTTTGTGTGGTACACCAATTTATTTACTAGTCATTGCATTTGCTGGTTAAAAGTACTAATTTTGAAATTTTAATAAGTATTTAAGTTGGTTTTAAAAGGTAGACATCAACCTTTAATGAAGTTTACCTTGGCATGGGGACAAACTCTTATAGGAGGATCACTCAGTTCAAGGTCAAACTAGAATTTTTTTTTTTTTATATGGACAAATTTAGGACCTTGTGTTTGCCAGGTCGATCTGAGCCACTGAACTACATCTCTAGTTCTGAAATGTCTTTTTTTTTTCTGAAATGTCTTGAGACTGTCTCAACAAAAACATACCAGGTGCAATTTTTTTTTTTTTTTGTTTCTTTGGGTCCAACTCAGGACCTCACTTGCCAGGCAGGCACTTATGCCGCTGAGCTATCTCCCTGGCCATAGTGCAATATTTTTGATCATAAGAATTGCATTAAAGGGGGCTGGTGAGATGGCTCAGTGGTCTAAAGCACCTACTTGGAACAAGCTTGGCAAAGCACAGGGACTGCGGTTCAATCCCCCAGCACCACATGCCAGCCAGTCCCGCCCCCTGGTGGGCTGAGCTGGCCACACACACACACACACACACACACACAATAAATAAATAAATGTTTAAAAAAAAGAATTGCATTAAGGAGGGCCTGGGAGATGGCTCAGCAGGCTCAGCAGAATAAGTGCTTTCCTGGCAAGCATAGGCGCCTGAGTTCAATTCCCGGTTCTGCCAAAAAAAAAAAAGAATTGCATTAATAGATGACTTTTGTATATTATTTAACTCCTCTACCACTGATCTACACATATAGCCCTGGAATCTGATGTACTATTTGAATAACAGTGTACTTAACTAGAGGGATACAGTATCTCATAAATGTGTGGTCAGAGGACCTTTTGGAGGGGAAATACACTCCAAAAGGGGCTCTTTGGCTATTGCTTTTACAGTTATGATAAAAATTTCCTCAGTCACATTGGGCACATCTAAGTGCTTGCTAGCTATTTGTGGCTAGTGACTACTGTGTTGTGTAGTGCAGATGGACAGTAGATGGGCTGCCTCTTGTTGAACAGCACTGCTCTGGAGAACTAGGACAACAGTTAGGTTTAACTTACATGGAGGGTTCTGTATCCAGGTAAGTTTGAATATTTTAAATGTAGAACAGAATGTTGTCATTTTCAAGAAATGGGCTATATGGGGGAGTGGACTTTGGTTTAAACATATGTAACTGACATAATTTTAATTCTTACAGACAGCAACACAAATTGGAATAGAATGGAACCTTTCCCCTGTTGGCAGAGTCACCCCCAAGGAATGGAGAGATCAGTAATCATGCCAGCTGATATGATACAGCTAAATTATTTCTAAATGAAATCATAATTGATGCCAAGTAACAGTGCTGTGTATCCATTAAAATATAGCCTACTGAAGAAATAAAGTACAATTGAAACCTTCATTGTACGTTTTATTTTTTCCTTTGCAAGTCAAGTTAAATTCGATCGGTTTTCATTAACCTTTTATAAGCACTTCCCTGGCAAGCGCAAGGGTCTGAGTTCAATCCCCGGTTCCACAAAAAAAAAAAAAAAAACCCACAAACTTTTATGCTAATATTAAAGTAAAAATGCTTTACAACTTCTGAGAAGAGCTTTGCTGGGGGAGCAGTGGAAAAATTTTTTAAAGAGCTTTGTGAAGTAATATGAAATGGAAATTTGGTTATTATCTGGAAGTCTAACTATATTCATCTGAAATTGTACCTAATGGATAACTTACCACAGAACTATTTTAGGTCATCTTTGAGCAAAAGCTTGGCTCAAATATTGGCTATGTGTGGCTTCTATTTTCTATTCATGCTTATATTTGGAGTATACTTTATTTTATTTATGGAACTGGGGATTGAACTCAGGCCCTTGCGCTTGCCAGGGAAGCGCTTATTCCACTGGGCCATCTCCTCGGCCCCCTCATGCTTATATTTGAAATGGGCAATATTAACTGCTTTTTACTCTTCCTTTTTTTGTGTTTTTTTTTCTTAAGGAATAGAATCTTGCTATGTATTTCAGGCTGGCCTTGAACTTTGTATGCAGCCCAGGCTGGCCTTGAGTTCAGGGCAGTCCTTTTGCTTCAGCCTCAAAAGTACTTGGATTATGGACATTGTGCTACCACTCCAGCTTTCTTTACATACTTGCTTAAGAGATGCCTTAGGGTGTCACCAGACCCAAGGGAACAATGGTCCTATAAAGTGAAGCAGGTTGTATGAAGAGCTCTTTGGCTCTTGGGATATTTGTTGTAATTAGACCTTTTAATGTTACAACATGTTTATTGGAGATGTTTATAATGGTATTAGAAAAATTTGCCTACTACAGTCTATTGCTAATTATTTAGTCATAGATATAAAAAGTATTAGGTTTTCTGTCCGTGGTATATAGGAAGTATGTTGAAAGCAGTATGTCTTAGAACGGTGATGATGAACCTATGATACTTGTGCTGTAGCAGACTGTTATCTTTGAAAGCTCTAAAGGGTTCATCATGGGGCTGGGGAGATAGCTCAGTAGACTAAGCACTTGTCTGGCAAGCACAGGGTCCTGAGTTCAATCCCTGGTATCACAAAAAAAAGTTTCATCACTATCTTAGAGTCTATCAGATGCACTGAAGTGAAGCCAAGTGGTGGTACACACCTGTAATCCTAGCATTCAGGAGGCTGAGATAGCAGGATTGCTGTAACTTAAGAGGTAGCCTAAGCTACATAGTGAGACCTTGTCTAAAACAAAAAATGCACCATTAGTAATTACATGATTGTAATAGAAATAACAATGTTATAAAATATGTTGCAAGATTAATAACTATAGTAGCACCACTTTTTGATAACAATATGAACACAAAAGTCTCTGGAAATGTTCATAATAACACTGGTGCTTGAATGCATGTAAACCCGAGATGTGATTAAGAAAGATAAACATCTTTAAGGAAGCCTCTATCAGATTGTAATATATCTCTTCATCTGCATTCTTCTGTACTTTATGACTGGAAACATTCAGTGTTTGTACCACTTCTGTTGTGTGATAGTTGTCAGCTATATGTGTGACATTTTAGAACATTATCTGTTCATTTGCCAGCAAAAATATATGTTGCTTTGTGTGACAAAATATTGTAGTAAGTACTCGTGAAGCAAGTGCCAAGCAACATCCCCATCCCTAAATAAGCTTCTAAACTTATTTATTTTTATTTTTTGCAGTCCAGGGGATTGAACTTGGGGACATATGCTTGCCAGGCAGGTACTTATGCTAATGAACTATATCCAAAGTCCTAAACTTAATTTTTTTTGGTGGAACCGGGGATTGAACTCAGGCCTTTGCACTTGCCAGGGAAGCGCTTATTCCACTGAGCCATCTCCCCGGCCCCCTAAACTTAATTTTTGAATAGTGTGGCTTTTCCTTACAATAGCCTGCCTAGCTTTATCCAGGGTGTTCTTTTATCTTGCTTTGTTACTCTCTTCATTTTTTCAAATAAGTTAAAAAAAATTTTAGGCTGGGAATGCAGCTCAGTGGTAGAGCATTTTCCTAGCATGTGTGAGACTACTTTTAATCCTCATTACTAGGAAATACAACCCAAAAGTCTTAATTTGATGGTTACTTGACCTGATCGGTAATTCTACAGTTATCATGACCAGTATTAGAAATGAAACAGTTTTGGGGCTGGTGAGATGGTTCAGTGGTCTGGGGCACCTACTTAGAACAAGCTAAGCTAAGCAAAGCACAGGGACCACGGTTCAATCCCCCGGCACCACATGCCAGCCAGCCCTGCCCCCTGGTGGGCTGAACTGGTCACACACAAAATAAATAAATAAATAAATAAATAAATAAATAAATAAATAATTAAAAAAATGAAAAAGTTTTAAACAATGTGATCTGTCACAACATTCTAATCTTGGAGGTTTCCAAGTGTACTCTGGCAAAAAAGGTTCTAGCCTTCTGTAGAGATTTGTACACAATTTATCCCATAACATTACTGTCATTTGAGTTTTAAATAACTAGTATTGGGAGGTTACCAAATTAAATTTACCTATTTTCTTTTTCTTTTTTTTTGTTTGTGGTACTAGGAATTGAACTTAGGACCCTATGCTTGCCAGGCATGCGCTTATTCTACTGAGCTATTTCCCCAGCCCTTAAATTTATCTATTTTCTGGTATCTATGTCTGAAGAGTTTAAATTCTTTTTTTGGGGATTGAACTCAGACCCTTGCACTTGCCAGGCAAGCACTTATTCTACTGAGCCATCTCCCCGGCCCCAAGAATTTAGATGAGTGACTCACCTTAGAAACATTGCTAGTCTTTTGAACATTATTGGAGGACTATGAAGTTTTAGTTGAGGTGAACATTACAAATGCTTTAGGGGCTGGTGAGATGGCTCAGTGGTCTAAAGCACCTACTTAGAACAAGCATAGCAAAGCACGGGGACAGTGGTTCAACCCCCCACCACCACATGCCAGCCAGCCCCACCCGCTGGTGGGCTGAGCTGGCCACACACACACATATAAATAAAATAAAAAACAAAAACAGATCAAATGCTTTAAATCTTACTCTAAAATAAAGTATTTTTTAGCATCTGTGGTCTGTTACTATAAGTTCATTGAACTCCATGAGGAGCTATAGTAGTTGAAGAGGCACAGATGTTGAATTCTTAACCCTGTTGATTTTCATTGGTGATACCAGTACTGCCTCAAGCATTTTGGAGATTTCTCATCTCCAGGAAACTTGATTACCATTGTAGGCATTTCTCATTCTGAAAGCTCAATAACAGTGATTGTGAGAAATTATTAGTATGCTTTTGCATTGGCAAGGAGGATTAAGGATATTGCATTTAAAGATGGTGTTACAAAATAAGGCAAAGGCTGAGTGATGAAATGTTTCGTTGGTAGGGGATGTTGCGGCTCATGTTAAACTACATTTAAAACAATATTTTAATATTCTTGTAGTACTGAGATGTTGAACACTGAGGCTTTCACCCTGAAATATAACCCAGACCTTATTTTGAGATAGAGACTTGGTAAATTGCCCAGGCTGGGCCCAAATTTGGAATCTTCCTGCATCAGACTCCTAGAATGTTGAGGTTACTGGTGTGTGTGCCACCAAGCTCAAGTTTATATTCTGCTAATAAAACTCTAATCCTGGTGGTGTTGAATTTCTTTGAAAGCTTTAATGTTAATAATTAGCTACAGTCCAACTTGCTAATACTGTATTTGGTAGTCCACTTAATTTCATATAATGTGATTTTATTTTCTGTGGTGGTGTTTTTAACATCTGTACTCCATTATATGTAACTTGTAAGAATTTAAGTTTTGGCTGGGGCTATGGCTCAGCGACATAAGCACCTGCTTGGCAAGCACACAGTCCCCAAGTTAGATCCCTGGTATTGGAAAAAAAAAGGAAAGAGGAAAAAACCAATTTAAATTTTGGCCAGAATTTGTCTTATGCACTTTGATCGAAGTTGTGCACATTGATTAACAACTATAGTTTAATGTCTGAGAACATAAGGAGTTCTGAGACTGATTTTCTATTTTTGTGGGTAAGTTTAAGGGAGGGGGGAAGAGGTTTCTATTTTTGTGGGTAGGTTTTTTTTTTTTTTTTTTTTTGGTGGAACCTGTGATTGAACTCAGGGCCTTGTGCTTGCTAGGGAAGTGCTTATTCTACTGAGCCATCTTCCCAGCCCCTTTTGTGGGTAGGTTTAGGGGGAGAAGAGGATAATGCTTTCTGAAATAATTGGCCTAAAATTTAGGCCTGTGAATAAATTTTTTTTGTGGTATTGCTATGTACTCCAGGCTACCTTTTTGAACTCTCCTTTTTTTTTGTGGAACTGGGGATTGAACTCAGACCCTTGTGCTTGCCAGGCAAGCACTTATTCTACTGAGCTATCTCCCTGGCCCTTTTGATTTTGCCTCATCATCAAGAGTGCTGGGATTACAGGCATGCATCACCATGCCCAAGTGATCTGTGGATAATTTTAAAGGTTGCCTATCCAAAAAAACATGTTGCCTATGAAGGCTTAATGGGAATTTGACTGTGGTAGGATGGAAATTATTCAATTGAAAAGATGTTTATTGTGCTCCACACAGTGTCTTTTTTTTGGTGGAACCAGGGATTGAACTCAGACCCTTGCACTTGCCAGGGAAGTGCTTATTCTACTGAGCCATCTCCCTGGCCCCACACAGTGTCTTTTACAGATATTTAATATTTGTAGTTTATATACTGTTGAATTCTACGTTATTTGATTACTTTGGATTTTTTGAGACAAGGTCTTGCTAGGTAGTTCAGACTGGCCTTGAACTCACTATGTAGTCCAGACTGGTCTCCAAGTAGCTTCCATCCTCCTGCCTCAGCCTCAAGTGCTGGGATCACCAGCATATGACAGCACACCTGGCCTATTTTAAAAAATTCTACAGTATTGAACTTCATACTTGTCTATAGGAACTGGGCTTAAATTGTTCCAGTTGAAAAATAGAAATAGGTCCGTGATTACCTTTCTCTTATCTTTTTTAAAATATTTATTTATTTTTATTTATTACATTTATTTATTACATGTATGTGTGGCCAGCTCAGCCCACCAGGGGGCGGGTCTGGCTGGCATGTGGTGCTGGGGATCGAACCGCGGTCCCTGTGCTTTGCCAAGCTTGTTTCAAGTAGGTGCTTTAGACCACTGAGCCATCTCTCCAGCCCCTACCTTTCTCTTATCTAACAGCTTTTTATCCTAAGAGGGATAAGAGAAAGATGGAATCTTTCTTTCTTTTACTGCTCATAATTTTAAAAATTCAGCCTGCACAGTGGCACACTCATGTGAGCCCAGTACTTAGGAGACTAAGGTAGGAAATTTGGGTCTAGTGAGACCCTGTTTCAACATAAAAATTAAAAGCCAGTTTCAGGACAGCCTGGGATTTGAAGTGAGCTCAAGGTTAGGAATGGTGGCATGTGCGTGTAACCTTAACATTCTGAGAGGCTGAGGCACGAGGACTGCAAATTGGTGTCCAGTAGTTTAGCGAGATCTTTGCTCAAAATAAGGGCTGGGAACTAGTGCTAAGGCCCTCCATCAATTTGATGGGAAGGCGATTTTAAACGCCCACTGCGAGCTCCTAGCGAAACTGTGCGTCCACCCTGGGGCAGCAGGGGGCGGGAGAAGCCTGACTCCAGGCCGCGCTCCCCGTCACGTGACCCGGGGCTCGCTCGCCCGCTCTCCGCTGCGGGTCCTGCTTCCGGCCCGGCCATCACCCGGAAGTGGGCGTAGTGGGAGGGGCGGGGTGAGGGCTGCTCCCGCCCAGGCTAGGGTGGAAAAAGAAGCCGCGGGAGTTGTCGCCGCCGCTGTCGCCGCCGCCGCCGCCGCCGCCGCCGCCGCCGCCGCCGCCGC